GGACCCTAGAGTGTTCAGAGACCACTTTAGAAGACACTACCAGGAACCTCAAATACTCCAATGTGGAGGGCACTCTCTGTAATACTGGTCTGAACCAGTCACAAGAAGACCACAAGTCCATACCTGAACTCCTAAAAGGTAATTCTGGCCCCGGTCTCTCATGGCTTCAGTGTGTCATGATGGGCAATGTCTTGACCTTGCTTAAAGACCAGAGAGGCACCATCCAGTGGTGTGAGCTCCGGAACCCAGCCTCAGACTATCTAGAGAAGTAAAAACTTACTCAGGCTGTGCCTCCTTCAAGATCCACTTTTACATTTCCTGAAGAATGCTTTTACTGGTGAAGTTTTTCTAGGAAAGGCATGCCCAGTGTATCTGAGAGCGCTGCCTTAGGCAGTCCTGCGAGAGGCTTGTAGCTGCCTCTCCTTACTCACATCCTGCAGAGAGCTGCAGACAAGAAGTATGAATTCATTTGCATATGTATTCACAATCTGTGTATTGCTCATGTAGACCTGTGCTAATTCTCCTTGTTCTAGGTTTGCCTATCTAACCTCAAGAAAGGTTTCCACATTCTCTCCTTCTGGAGGCTGGATGAGTTCATATGCAAAAGAAGGTATTTGGGAGTTGGTGCAGCACTGAGCAGGAACTGGGCCTGGTTCAGCCATGCTGAGGAGTGTGAGGTTCATGACTTGGGTGAGGATTAACTTCCTTAGCTTAGGCTGTTGAATAGGAACTGGCATTGGTCAGGGGGACAGCTTGGAGAGGGATAACTTGATGAGCTTCGTAGCGCCTATCCAAGCATAGGGTTTTAGTTTCCTTGGATCCCCCTGGTGCTATTCAGCCACTGTGGGCATGAGGAATCTCTAGAAAATCTAGAGCAAAGGTAACCAATCAGAGATCTATAGGCCAGGTGAAACCTACAGATGTGCATTATGTAATCCACACAATGTTTCTTTTCTTAATTAGTTGCCAATATTTTTAAAATAGAAAAACATGTATATATCTGGAGTGCTAGTTCTTATGAAAAGTAGGAATGTCTAGCATTTGAGTGCTGTCAACTGGAAGGAGAATAACAGCTGCCACCTTTAGAAAGCATGCATTCAGTATGCATGGTTATCGTAAGCAGCCCACTCCAGGAAAGCACAGTGCCTGTGGGCAGAGGGATTGTTTCAGGCTGAGCTCCTTTAAGCAGCAGACTAGGTGTAGCTTGGCAGGAATGGACCTAGGCTGCAGAAGGAGGCGTTTGCCCCCATTCTCTGCCTCTAGGCCATGAGTCATTCCGGATCTTACCATGAGAAGCTAAGAGTTCTGCAGCTGAGGATATCTTAGTCTAAAAGGACAAGACATTCCCTGTCCTCCTTTCAGAGGACCCATATAAACTCCAAGCTGTGCAGAGGTGTAAGAATCACATATTTATACAAACAGTATCAAGCTAATTTCAGAGAAGCAATAGTATCATGTGCAGCTGAATGTTCAACCTGGAATTTAGATCTGGGAACTCAATGATCTCAAGCTCTGGCATCATGAAGTCCAGCAAAAGCATGGGAGAAAACTGAGGCTCAAATGCGTCCTAGAACTTGAACTCAACAATTTATATGTCACATGCTTCTTTTTCTTGGAAATAATGAGAATACAGTGAAAGCGTGGGAGTGGCAAATAACCCAGAAAAGGCAAATAAAAAAGTACCATACTCAAAATAGTCCAGGTCAAGACATCCATCTCTGTGGCACATGGTACTGGCAAACCACAGGCCTGATATGACCTCATTCATGGGACACAAAAAAAGAGGATTTCGGAAAAGTTACTGCATGAGATTTAAGATGTAACTAGGTAGGAGAAAAAAGTTCTGGTGTTTATATGCAGTAAGGTGACAAAGGTAATTTCAAAGAGGTAGAAGAAAGAGTGATATACATTTTCACTATAAATAAATAATAAATGATTGCACAGAGATATGTATGCCCTAATTTGAACATGTACAGTCCATGCACATGGGAAATCATCATTTGGTACTCCATAAACATATACAATTTTACACATAAGTTAAAAATAATAGGGCCCGGCGCGGTGGCGCAGTGGTTAAGGTCCTCGCCTTGCATGCCCGGGATCCCATATGGGCGCCGGTTCTATCCCTTCCAGCTCCCTGCTTGTGGCCCGGGAAAGCAGTTGAGGACAGCCCAAAAAGCTTTGGGACCCTGCACCCGCGTGGGAGACCTGGAAGAGGCTCCTGGCTTCGGATTGGCATAGCATCGGCTGTTGCTCTCACTTGGGGAGTGAATCATCAGATGGAAGATCTTCCTCTCTGTCTCTCCTCTCTGTATATCCGCCTTTCCAATAAAAAAAATAATAATAAAAATAAATCTTAAAAAAAATAATAGAAAAAAATTCGAGGAAAAAAAGGAAAGAGAGCTTAGAATAAACAGGATATTGAAAGTGATTGGGCTTTAAACTTTCACAAAGTTTAAAATGCAATTGCTTAGATGGATAATACTCAGAGGGACAAGACAGCCTGTTCCTAGGTGGAGCTGGACACCAACATCAGATTTCTTGTAACAGACACTCGACAATGGAGTAGAAATGCTGTCAGGGAGAGACTGCACAGCGTTCCGGAAGAGAAGCCAGGGCAGGCAGGCAGATAATTCACAACAGTACAATGCAGCTATTCTCTGATCTCCTTCCATTATGTGGCTACCTTCCAGGTCTTACCTGAAGGATAAACACCAGCTCCCTGACATTTTTAGCCCCTGAAACATCAGCACCCTGACATTTTCATATCTTTCAGGCTCCATTCAATTTTTCTTGGTCTCTTTCTAGACTGTTTACAACTCTCCATAACCTTCTCCCCTTATCCTTCCTATTGCGAAACCAACCCTTATACAGACCAGGAGACATAAAGTAGCACATTATTTTATGTGCTTTCTGTTCAAGTTATTTGAAATTGTATCAATTTTCTTTCTTGGGCATTCAAAATATCCTATTTTGAAAAAAAGAAAATTCAATTCTTTTGGCTACTCAAACTTCTAGGATAATTATCAACAAGAAAAATGCATATAAGCTAAATAGAAAAAAACCAAATGCAACCAAACATTTGATAACTTTTTAATCAACAATGAAGACAACAAACAGCTTCTTAGCTATTAGAATTAGTTTTTTATGAAGACAGATTCATAACAAGACTGACTTGTCTATTTTTTTAAAGTTGTTCATGCCATGAAGACTAGCACACACCAGAAGCAAGATACTTATCTCCAGACCAAACGCAGAATGTAAAGCCTGTGTTCATCATTTTGCTGTTGAGGAAGATTTTATTTTTATGCTGATCACAGCAATAAAAAAAATCAGTGTTTTGGGGAGAAAGACTATAAGCAATGCTTTAACTGCATCTATTCATTTTAAGAGACTGACTTTTGTTCTTTAAATCACTAATGAGCATCTTCTGTGCCAGGTATTATTATATCAGGAGCTACAAAGCATACGCTTCAATCACAGTCTGACTTTCAAAAAAAGAGCAAATACAAGAATGATTTAAGTTAAGAAAATCTATTAGTTATATGTTACAGTAATTTATTTCATTTAAATTTTCAACAGATTTTGAAAAGGCTTTTGACAAAAATTCAACATTCCCAAAAAGTACAGCTCATTATCTATGAGAATAAAACTATTTGTACAAGAACGGTTACCTCAATTATGACATTTTTACTAAAAAATAAACAAAAACCCATTATAAATTATAGTAAAGATGACTATACAAGGATAACTACTTAGCCTCCAATTAGGACACCTATGTCTCACATGAAGTATCTAGGTTCAATACTTTGCTCTGGCTTCTGACCCAGCTTTCTGTAAGGCAGTATGAGTGATGGCTCAAGTAGCTAGATTCCTGCCACCTAGGAGAGACCTGAAATAAGCTAGTTCCAGGTTTCTAGTTCTGGCCCAGCCTGCAGGATTTTCGGGGAACAAATAGATGGAGAGGAGCCTTCTTTCAATACATAAATAAAAAGAAAAGAGAGAATTTAAACAAAAGACAACTAAATGGAGCCAGCACTGTGGTGTAGTTTGCTAATCCTTAGCCTGGGGAGCTTGCAGTCTGGACAGCTGTTCTGGTCTTGGCTGCTACAACTCTGCTAAGCTAATGGCCTGGGGAAGCAGTGGAGGATGGTCCTAGGCTTTGGGCCCCTGCACCTATATGGGAGACCTGGAAGAAGCGGTTGGCTCTTGGCTTTGGACTGACCCAGGTCCAGCCATTGCAGTCACTTGGAGAGTAAACAAGCAGACAGAAGATCTTTCTGTCTCTCCCTGTCTCTGAAATTCTTCCATGATTAAAAAAAAAAAACAATTAGTAAAAGGAACTATACAGTAAACTTTAAATCTGGAAAAAAGTAATTATGATTTCAAAGATACAGACATGAGAACTAAATTGCACCTTTGCTTTGACTGCAACTTCATGAATTCTGCATGCACGTAACAACTAACAAAACAAGAATACAGTATTTGAATGTTACAGAAGCAGCTATTTTTGCATATTTATCTCCATTAAATTATATCAAAACATCATTTATATAAAAAATTTATCAAAGAAAATTACAGAATAGGAGGAGGTAGAACGAGACTGGTAATGTGAGCACCAAATAAACAGAGGAATTGACTGTGAACTCCACATGCCACCAGCTGTCAAATCATAGTTCCTGTGATAAGACAAGGGTGCTGCTGGTCCATCCTGAGCCTCTCACTATACCAGGCCAGGAGAAAGTGCCACCTGGGAACCGTCAAACCAGCTCAACAAGTTTTTTCTCTCAGGCCAGCCCCTCCCTGCCCTACCCCCTTCAGCACTCAACATTCAGACCTGGTTGCACCTGCTGTATAAACACTGCACACTGAGCCACCATTCCCATGTTTAAACAGGCTGAGAAAGCAAGCAAGTGAGAGCTGTTGCATGGGTACAGAAATAGATTTTAACACATTAAGCTGCTTTAAACCCGACAGCCTTCAGCCCCACCTGCTCTTACCTGTTGAAGCATTTCTTCAGCAGCATTGAGTTTCACCTGATGTCCTTCCAGACACACTTCCAGGTCCCGAATCTTCTCTCCTTGGGCTTCCACTTGGTCTGTGAGGACGCTCACCTGTTCCAGGAAACAGAGCAATGGTGGAGGAGCAGGGACTCTGAATGGGGCAGGACAGGTGAGCTGTGAAACCACACCAGTGACTTGCATGCCAGGAATAGCTGTGCTTTTTGGTGACCAGCAGGTAGGGGCAGGGTCCTGGAAGAAGACAACTCCAGATGGAGTCTTACCTTACCAAGCAGTCTCAGGTGCTGCCTGAATGACGGTCACATTTCCTGTTCCCGACAGACTCAGGAGTAAAACAGCCAACAGCACAAGAGCTGCCTCTGGGCTGGACTCCTGCTTCTTATTCCTCTTATAGGGCAGCCCGACCTCAAGGCATACCTCAGCTAGTTTGCCAGGGCTTCTGCCACCTCACGTGGAAGTGCAATCCAATGATCTTACCTCTTTCATAAGGGTACAAAGACTGCTCACCTATCAGGTAAGTGTTTTGAAGCAATTAAGGAATGTGGGATGTAAAGGGCATGTATTAGCGTTGTCAAAACTTGGCTCCAGAAAAGCTTTTGTGCTTCACAGGCCAAAACATGACTCTAAATCATAAATACACAGAAGCCACATTGCACATATGGTGGCAGAAAAAAATTATCTTGTAAAGAATCCTGACAAGTTCTACTGAAATATAAATAAAACACACTTAAAAAGTTATTTCAATTACATCCTGAGCAGACACCAAGAGAGTTTTTAGGTCCTTCCCCATTAACAAACTTCCTCTGAGGTTCTTTTTATTTTTTAAGAGATAATGTAGAAGTGGGCATTGTGACAAAGTGGGTTAAGCCACTGCTTGGGATGCCTATCATCCCATATTGGAGCATCACTTCATGTCCTAGCACCTTCACTTCCAATCTAATTTCCTGCTAATTAATGTGCCTGGTAAGTCAAACTGTAAAGTTCCTGTTAAAAAAAGAGACTAAATTCACATTGGAAATTAAGTTTTTCGTTCTCCTGTTCCCAAGTCACAAATGAACTATTGAAGAATATTCCTAGAGTTGATGTAGTATGTGTTAACTTTTTAATTGTAATCCAAAAACGGGCTCCTTCTAGGCCCTGATCCAAAGGATCCAGTTTCTGTCTGTGAGGAAAACACTTTAGTGGTCTGCACCATACTTTGAGGCTATAGGCTGGTGTGAGCCAGGGAGTAGGATGTGGCCTCCAGCTTTCTATAGAGTCCAGTTCAGCTATGCATATCCACAGCACTGTAGAGACCTCAACAACTTCAACACTGACCTCCATGGCTGGGAATGGCGGGGGTAGAAAATTGAGACAAAACATACACAGATGCTAGAAGGTGACCTTCAGTCAACATTTTTTGAGGTCTTATTGCTAAGCATATTCTTAGGTACTGGATAAAACAGACGCTTAAAAAAATAAATAAAAAGCATGAGATTTCTTGCCTTAAGGAGCCATAATCAAAAACTTTGATTTCAAACAAAGTATTTTATTATGGGTGATGTGCTTTGTGCTTTCCCACATAGACCCAGGGAAACATTCCAGACCAAGAGCTCCTAATAATTCAGTTTGGTAGAGCTGCTATGAGAGATAAGCAAGACTCAGCCAATCCTGCTGAGGGTTTGTCTAACCACCTCCTGGGGGCCACTCTGGGATGGGCATGATCACAGAACAACCTTGAGTCTTCCCATGGAGGAACATAAACCACAAGGGGCCACCTCTGACTTCTTTATTGGTAGGATTATGTTGGGATTATTTAAATAGGGATCATTCAAGACTTCAAAATTTTACAAAACCATGCAAAATGAAAGAGTTCTACGACATGGGACTTTTTTATTACATTATAATCCTCCCTCTATAGGATCCTGCTTCAAAAGCTGGTCATTTCATACTATTTGCTGCAAAATTCTTAACTTGGAGTCTCTTTCATTAACATGTCACCAGACTCAGGCTTCAATTAATACACCCTTCAAAACATCTGGGATAAATGTACCCTGCCTCTTGTCTGCAGGCAGTTCCGGCACCATTTCTTCTCAAGTTCCCTGTCACAACAGACCCCAGCTGTTCTCCCCACACATCAACCACACTCTTCCTCAGTGTGTGGGCAGAACTGATCACCTCCCCAGCCTGGAATGCACTTTTGGGTGGCTTCTGCCCTAGTTTCCTCTTCCTGGCAGGGAGTTCTCCCCTGATTACACAATTTTTATTCTGCTTTTTCTCCATCATACTTATCACTGTCTGAAATATATATATGCGTTTGTTGACTATTCACTCACATACACACATGAATGGAAGTTCAACAAGAACAAGAACTATTGTGTTAATTGCTGCAATCACTAGAATCTAAAACCAGAACCTGACAAGTCATGGACACTCATTACTTTATAATTCATAAACCAATAAAGGTGATGGAGGAGAAGGATGTAAAACTGTGTATTTGCTATGAATGCAATTGTTTAATAACAAAAGCAGTGTAGAAAAATGTTGAGAAAATGGCCACCATGCTAACTTGCTTCTTTAAATTCTCTTAGTATTTCCAAAGTTTATAAAATAATTATTATGTTCATGAAATAGAATTTAAAAAAAAAAAGAAGAAAAGAAAAAAACCACCAACAACATAATGAAACACATTCACTGCTGTTTCACAATCCTAACGTCCCAAGCCCACAGCTTGGGAAGGGTGCAGCCCCACCTCCATTCCACTCTCTTTAAGCTGTTAAAAAGCTGAATTTTGGATATTAATATTTATGCTATCCAAATAGTTAATTAACATCTGCTGTGCACCAGACCTGAGTAAATGCTTGCTCAATCAATTTACATATTTGAGAGCTAACACATCAAAGAACTGCTACTTCAGTAACAGGCTTCCTGTAAGAATGTCCAACTTTATATTCTACCAAGGAACAAGAGATTTCAGAAGTAGTGATTGGTTCCCTTACCTTTCTCCACAGAAGTTGTGGAGCTTCTCTCTTCAAGAGAGCCAAAGCAACTTGGTTAGCACAGCTCACCAGCTCCAGGTGGTCTGCCATTCAAGTGATCAGTATAGATCGGCTTCTTTTGATTAGACCTAATTTTTTTAGCAAACCCCCACCCCACCCCACTCCACCCCATAGGAATATATCATACTCTAACCCTTTTTATTAGCGATGTGAGGATGCATTTTATTTCCCTCCTAAGCTCCCAGGAGATGCTGTTCATTCTTAGCAGGTGGCAAACAGCCTGCTCACAGGTCTTCTAATGAGGAGAGGCAGGTGCCTGTTAGTGGATGGTAGATAAACGAATGAATTCACAGTTCCCAAAGTCAATCCAGAGCTAAATAGTGCCTCCACTCACCTGCTTCTTCTTTTTATGTAAAGTCTATCTTGAAAACATATACTTTGGGGCGCTGATGTGAAGGCTCAATGGCTAAATTCTCACCTTGCAATCCATATGGGAATCAGTTCATGTCCCACCTGCTCTACTTCCCATTCAGCTCCTTGCTTGTGGCCTGGGAAAGCAGTGCAGGATGGCCCAAAGCCTTGGAATCCTGCACCCACATGGGAGACCTGGAAGAAACTCGCTCCTGGCTCCTGGCTTCAGAATGCTTCAGCTCTGACCATTGTGGCCTTTTGGGGAATGAACCACAGGTTGGAAGATCATTTGCATTCTCTGTACATCTGATGTTTCAATAATAAATAAATAAATATAATTTTAAAATAAAGAAATAAAACATATACTTTGGGAACAGGGCTACTGAGATAATCCCTTGTTTTTCTCTTCCACTTATGGGAAATAACAGAGCTGGAAATAAAAAAATAAGATGGGTCTGGGGTTGTGGCACAGTGGGTAAAGGTGTCACCTGTGATGTTGATTTCCCATATATGTGCCGATTCAAGTCCCAACTGCCCCACTTCCAATCTAGTTCCCTGATAATGACTTAGAAAAAGCAGAAGATGGTGCAGCCACATGGGAGACCTGGAAGAAGCTCCTGGCTTTAGCTTAGACCAGTCCTGGCCATTGTGACCAACTGGGGAGTGAATCAGCAAATGGAAGATCTCTGCCTTTCCTTCCATCTCCTTCTCTATAACTGATTTTCAAATAAATAAATCTAAATTTCAAAAAGGAGAGAATAAAGTTATTCTCACCAAGAATGACTTACCTGTAATATGAGGGACTCCTTATCTCCCTCTAGACGTGCCAAGCGCTCCTGGTAAGTTTCATTACTAGCAGCACTGTGATGATTCACCTGGGAATAAAGGCAAGGAGAAAAGAACACACTTAAGTTGAAAAAACATCTTACCAACTTCCAAATGGACTCTGCAATGTATGCAATTTGTGAGGACAGTTTCACTGATTATATGTATAAAACCATCCACCATAACAGGAAACCACAAGATTTCAAAATCACCACAAGGAAGACCAGACCTGCATGCCACTGAAAGGTGTGTCTTGGAAATTGGCATAGCCACCTCTCACATGATCTCACCCTTGGCTAGAAGGGTCTTGATGGAGCTTCAGATCCAGCAATGTTTGTCCTGACTGGACATGCCAGGTCTGGTTTAGCTGGAGGCACAGGAAAACAACAATAAGGGTCTCCTTTTAGAGGTGACTAATGAGTTGGTACCATTCTCCGAGAAACCTTGTGTGAACAACTCCTACAGAGGCACTATATCCAAACTCTCACACCAGGATTCTCCATTCTCCACAGCCAAGGCACATTTTACAGCACAAAAACACATGAACATGGAGAATACAAAACACTAAGTACAAGGTTCTTCATCTGATCACACACTTCTTCCTATCCCTTTCCTATCTCTGACAAGGGCTGGGCAGCCAGCCTGACAGGTCATGTTTCAATGGCATGAGAGCTGAAAGATGCAAACTAAGATTAAACATCTTGAGAAGAATCTAAATCTCAAAGGATAAGCAGATGGCAAACACAGGAAACGCAAAGAAGCCAGAAACTAGAGAAAACAGGAAAGTTGGAGGATGTGAAATGATATGGGAGAGAATGCCCTGAGCTAGAGAAGCAAGCTATCGCTTTCTAGCTATGTCTGACCTGGCTGTAGATAGTGATGTACAAGACAGGAAGTCAGAGAAGCCTAGAGATGACCCACCTTTATCTTGAGCCCATTTCTTTTCATTACAGCTTTTATCATGGGTGTTCCAACCTCCCACCATGACAAACGGCAATTCCTTTCTTTAGCTAACCCCCTTTCCAATACAACACCCTAGGTAAGAGCAGGTGACAAAGCCAGGCCCAGTTCTAGAGCAGAAATTGGAACTAAACACCCTGCTTTCGAGCCTTGGAGTTTCACTGGTGACAGAAATGTTGGCTGTTTGTTGAAGACACAGTGGGAGGACACATCCAGGGTCCAAGTTCTGTGGCAGTGTGGCAGGTAGTTTGGATGGCACCAGGTACCACTGCTACACCATGGTATGTTAATCCAGCCTCTCTCAAGGCTATGTACTGGTTATCATTATAGAAGCTCTTTCTTGTCACAAAGGGTCTATGTAAACATCACAAAAAATTTCTTTGCTGACAGTACTTTATTGTTATTACAGCAATTTGTATTCTAGTTCTCACTGGGTCAAACACTATGACCAGCAGAATACATTACAATGTACATTTTCCTAAAATCTGATTTAAAAAATAAAATAAGAAGGACCCTGTGCCATGGCCTAGCAGCTAAAAGTCCTCACCTTGAATGCCCCGGGATGCCATATGGGTGCCAGTTCGTATCCCAGCAGCTCCACTTCCCATCCAGCTCCCTGCTTGTGGCCTGGGATAGCAGTTAAGGATGGCCCTGCACCCACATGGGAGACCCAAATGAGCTCCTGGCTCCTGGCTTCTGGCTTCGGATCAGTACAGCACCAGCCATTGTGACCATTTGGGGAGTGAATCATTGGATGGAAGATCTTTCTCTCTGTCTCTCCTCCTCTCTGTATATCTGACTTTGCAATAAAAATAAATCTTTTTTTAAAAAAAGGTAAGAAAATAAGTCTTAATACTAGGTCAGGTTTTTCTCTGTTAAAGATGGTGATTTTTCAGCTGTCAGAGAGAATAGAAAAAGTAATAATTCTTTGCATGTCGGAACCCAGCACCTGAGTCAATGTGTACATGAGACTGGCCACCACTGGAAGTGCTGTTCCAGTAGGGAGTGAAGTAGCCAACAGCAAAGGCTCGATCTTTCCACAAGCTTCCAGCAAACCACTCCCATCAACTGTACTTTATTCGTGGTGTACAGTAAGTCTCTCACTTTAATATAAAGTCTACCCACACAATCATCCAGAAGGGCAAATATTTTTACTAGTTGGCAAAACACAGAAAGTGAGTAGGAATTATAAGTTAAATTAGAACACAAGGTGTATGCTACAGAGCCCATAACAAATCTGAATCTATTCTTGTGGCCGATGGAAAAAGCATGATAAGTTAAAAGACTCAAAGCTCAACATGAAACATTGCACTGCCTGCTTAGAAGAAGCATAACTCTTCACAAGCAAGGAAGGCCAGAGAATGTAAAGAAGAATTTGACCCTGTTAAGGATGCTTGTCCCACAGATGAAGATGAATGAGTATTTTTTTTCTAAGTCATTCAGGATGTTAATCCTCAGGTAGACCTCTAGTATAATAAACAACTGATTTTGGAAGCTTTCTACGGATCTGATCAATTATTTTCCTCTTCAACTTGACAATTATTTCTACAAAAGTGACAGAGGGAAAACCAATTTTCTCTCTTAAACTCAATTCCATGGAAAGAACTCTTCCTGATACCATATGTCAATCTAGTTACCTAAAAATATTATGGAAGTAATGTGATCTGTGTATCTATGAAGATAAAACACTGATTACAAACTGCTATTTCCATATCCTCTGGCACTTTAGTTGAAGAATATCATTGTAAAAAACCTACCTCTCTTGTATTGCAGAGCTGAATGAGGACAAGGAGTTCTCCTTGTACGTATATGACCAAGAACTTAGATAAACTAGCCATGATTATTGAAGCTATACCACTTCTTCTTCTTTTTTTTTTTTTCACTTCTGTTTCTATCAAATTTGGCTTTCAAAGGCCAGGAAACATCCAAGATACCAGGAATCCATGCACAAAAACCAAGAGTCTTAGAGGCAAATATAAAATAGAACCAGAATTATCCCATCAAGGTCATTCTTGGGCCTTGAGAATGATGTTCCAGATTGCCCTCAGGAACAGTGACAACACTGAGTCATTTCTGGATTATATGTATATACATACATATATATTCCTGAAATTTTTATATATAAATATTAAAATTAAAATAATATAAACATCAAATTTAATACATATATAAATATTAAAATTGCTAGCACTACCACGACCGGTCAATCCTACTGCACAACTTGGACAACCAATAGCCTAAGGTGGGGCTATTTTCTAAGCTACCCCTAACTAAGAGAGGCTTTAAGAAAATGAAGCAACTGTACAGGAGTTGTATTCCCAAGGTGGCGATCTTTTAGTTGATCATACCAGTTAATCATCTTCAGCAATTAGGAAAGCAAAGGGTAGAGAAAATGCCTTGTGTGGCCTGGAGGAATAGGACTGACTGGCAACATTTCAGCTAGTCTCTACATAAACACCAGTTTGGGCTTTACACCAACAGGAACCTAATTTAAACAGAATCCTATCCCACTTCTCCCCTGGGTCAGTGAGTTTACTCTTTATAAATTCCATAGGCACAGACAGCTGAATACTGCACTCAAGAAATAAAGTGGATTTCTGAATACGGGGGAACACTGTATTTTAGTGAGGGATGACAATGTCAGGGATATATAAGCCCCAAAGAAGAAACTTAATGAATTGTGGAGAACTCCAGACTAGCTGATTTACCTTATTCTCTTGCTAAGGGAAAGGAATGGAGAAGATTCGTATTAATCTTGGCAGAGCACCGTCCTGGCCAGTACTTTAATGAAATCCATTGTTCGTACAGAGTAGGTTGGATCATCCCCTTAACTGTATGTAACATTATTACATAAATGAGGAATGCCACCTTCTTATAGAAGCCTCATCTCCCATCTGGTCCAAGCTCACCTGGCTGGAATCTTTCTTCTGAATTATCAAAGTTAAGAACATAACAAGATAACTGCAGTACTAGAAGACTCTGTGGTTGTCAGTGGCCAAGTACTCTTTCCCATGAGCGAAGCTGGTTTGCAGCAAGTGTCAGGTATGAAGACAGCACATATTGAAAAGCAAACAAAACCAAGGAATTCAAAGACTGATGGCATTTTTCAAATCTGGTCCACACTGTCTAAAGGCTGAGTTATATCCTGGTCCTTTCTGTTGGTCACCTACAACCCTGTTTCTTTTATTTGAAACCAAAAGTCCTGGCTCCTTCACTTGTTTCAAAATGTGATCAGTTGTCTAAAACGTTTTTTCTTTGGAAACAAATATAAGCAAAAATTACTATTTGGAAATAGAATCAAATTATAAATAAATTCTACATACCATTGTTTGATTGCTTGGACTAGCAATTCTAAGGCAACTAAAGCTAAAACCAGAATTATTTTCAAGGGTTATTTTGTGGTGCAGGGTGTGTCTGTGGGATGCACTGGGACAAAAAGGACACCCAGGCTCCTCTCTGTGTGGAATGCATGGCTTTCTGTTCACCAGCTGTTTATGTCTATTCTTATTTCTAACAGAGAGCAAAAACTCTAAGACAGAAAATGAATACAAGATGTGACAGACCCATGGTGCCACCTAGGTGGTAGTAGTGGTGGTGAAGAGATGTGGGATAAGGAAAATTAAGTTTCAACAAGAAATACATATAGGATCTAAACTCTAAAAGACATAAGGCAGAAAAGGAAAAAAATAAATGAGGGGTAAATTAGAGCACAGACACAGTCTAACAGCTGTTTTATGAATTATGTGTCACACACAGTGGATTAAATGGCATGTCTGGGTGCTGGAAGGCTGAGAGTGCCATGTTTTCTGTTCCCTACTCAATGTCTAGCTGGGCTTCAAGACAGAGGATTCACGGAGATTTTGCTGGGGAGCTTCCATTACCATTTACAGAATTTCCACAGCATCTCCTCCCCAGAGCAAGGCCTTCTCTGCAGCAAGAGAATGAGTAGAAGCCTGGGGCTGAGGCTACTCCGTGGGATCTCTGGTAGGTTCCCTGTCTTCAAGCTTCCCATCCTTCTGGCTGAGCAAAGCTATGCCTCACAGAGCAAAAAAGTCAACACGTCAGTCAGGTCAACATACGCGGTAAGTACAGAATG